CGTTGACCGATCAGCCAGTGCCACCACCAGTTGAAAATTATAAAATGTTTCTATTAAAACGATTTTTCATTAAAATAGGTTTCTCAATCCAGTTACTTTGATTGCTTTTTCGACTATTTTGGAGGTTTCCTTCCTAACCTTTTGTTTGAAGTATTATGGAAAGTCAACATCTTGTGCATGCCATTATTCTCTGTTCAAATTACATGAGCTATCCATTTTAGTTGTTTCTGTTGTTGAAACTCTTCAACTGATACGGTTTCTTTTATTTGAGAGCGAACATTTGATTTTGTAACGCCAGTGCACAAGGATGCTCCTCGCTAAGGTCTTGATTCTTCATTCGTTCGAAGCCATTTTTTATAATTGATCTGCGAATGATGTTGTGTACAGTTGGTTCTGAACGAGTTTTGGCGCCATGTATGACGTCTCAATCTTAGAAAATGACACGATATTTTTTACTTTAATGTTTTAGTTTTGTAGAAACCTCTGATGTTCTACGAAACGACCTCTAGCACAGCCTAATCTACGTTCAATTTCCTTATCTTCCATAATAAATTTAAGATAACTGATCAATACAGCAAAGTATATGAAATGTTTAGTATTTATTAATTTCACATACTGTATTTTTCTGATGTATTCATGGTACATGTCATCATTGTTTTCATTCAGTTCATTTCCAGATCATAATTTCTATTTTGAAGAGGTTAAAATTTTTGGATCACTTGGTTGAGGATGTTGATTTTTTTTGTTCAAGCTTATTTTTATTCTAAGTATGTATATCTATGTCATCAGCATGGGAAAATACCTTTTTTCCTGGATAAAAAAGTCTAATATGAAGACATGCTTCCTAAATTTGAAATCATGGCGATAGGACGGGAAATTCTTCCACATGTGGAGTATTCTAATGCCTATATATAATGCCCAAGAGCCACTTAAGACGCTGGTTACTGAAAGGGGTTGTTTCATGAGGAGGATGAGGAGGCAAGAAATGCAGTTTATGAGCTTAGGAAAGATAATGGTTATCCCTAGACATGAAGAAGATTGTAGTGAAATACAAAGATGGTTCGTGTCAGTGTACGTGGCATTGCTGGTCTTAGCTGTAATGGTCAGAACTGGTGGAACTAAGTAGCTCTTCAGAATATTTGCCATGTAAATAGTGATAGGGTTGAGACGATTCCTCTGTAGGAAAGTGGAAATATTTCATCACACTCAAGGCTGCCAAGACGCTTATGAACTGTTTTAAGGCTGGAAAGTTAGGACTGTGTAGATATAGTCGCAAAACCCCATTTTTTGCTCTGATCTGGCTATATTCAATTCATAATTTACTTCATTCTAAGCAACACTGCGTGATTTGCTGGCGATTCCTACAATTCCAAAAGAGGTTTCGCGTGTTAGAACTAGAAATTTAAAATTTTACAATATATATATATATATATAAGTGAACATAGAAGTCAACACTTACAGACGACAGTCTGTTTCATGATAGATCCAATCGTCAGGCCACCATGAAACAGACTGTCGCCTCTAAGTGTTGACTTCCATGTTCACTTTTATATTTGCACACGCTCTTTCTCTGATATTGAGCACTTTATCCCATAGATATAGCACATCTTAGGACTATATTTCTTCATACTCAGAAATTCCGTGGTGATACTCAGAAATTCCGTGGTGATACTCAATTCCAAGTATTCAAAATTCCGTGGTGATACTCATCCAAGTATTCATAACCCAACGGATTCTACCCCAAAGAGCCACAACTTTCCTTCCCCACCCCGAACCGCTCCATCGTAGAGCATTAGCTGGGTCAACAAAGGATATACAAGAACAATATATATATATATATATATATATATATATATATATATATATATATATATATATATATAGTGTAATTAGAGAGTAATCCTCTTTTATACAAGTTTCATTAACACTTATTTAATTTTTTTCGGTTAAGTTTTTTATTTAATTTTTCTTGTGTTCTTAGAAATTTCTTCTTTTCTGGACATAAATAATGTAGAAATTGTCCGAATGTTTTTGTATCCGAATTGCGTGCGGCAATAACTGTAACCATTATCAAGATGATTTTATTTTATTTTTAATTCACTTAAAAATCAATATAAAGTCATCACAGTAAAGTTAAATAAAATACTTAACCGCAGTACCTTGTCAGTCGTATTTAATGTAACTTATATATATATATATATATATATATATATATATATATATATATATATATATATATATATATGGTTGGATAGATGTGAGTTTGTGACTTGTTTGTCTGACGATCGCTAAAGCGTGAAACCCAGGGTCACAAACTCACATCTATCCAACCAAATGTGTTAGCTCTATCTCTGATAAGTACTGCATATATAATATATAAATAATTATACATATATATATTTATTTATATTTATATACACTTTTCACATATATATATATATATATATATATATATATATATATATATATATATATATATATATATAGAGAGAAAAGAGAGAGGCAGACAGAAAGAGAGAGATATTTTGATGAGTAGTCATGCTATAAATTTATAAAACAGATTTTATCAAGAAATAGTTGAAACTTTTATCTCAACCTTTTATTTTTATGTTTTCTTTTTTAAATAATATCAACCCAACCAAGGTGATAATGCCACTAAGATTCAAGTGTTTACTGGGATCGAACGCAAAATTTACGAATATTTAACGAAGAGAAAGGTGAAATAAAAGAACTGAGTTCGGAAAGACATATGTCGTTGACTGACATTGCTTTTAAATTTTTAACGATTGGAGGTGAAAGCGAATGGAGATACCGGAAGAGAGTACCATAGGCGAGAAGTGCGAGAAAAGATATTTGTTATATAGGAATAAAGTGTCGTTGCCGAAACTGGAGTTTGAACACAGATCAGCAGAGAGCAATGCCATTTTGAATAAACAGATCACATGATGGCAACGAAAATGTATATAAGGGAATTAGCATGGCGTCTAATTGATCCTTATTTCTACACTATCCTCTACTATTATTCGGATCATCATTTCTGTTCTATCCTCTATTAATATACGGTTCGCTATTCTCTATGCTATTCACTATATTATTTCTCTATACGGATCACTATATGGATTGTTATTCGGATCACTATTCGATGGTTACTTTTCGAGCGAGTATTATCGAGCATTATTAGTGCCAGTGCTACTCGAAGACGTCTGACACCAGCATTGTTCAACGGCGTTGCTATAGTTATATCTGCGATTACAAAATCTCTACTACAACGAGCATTACGAAAGTGACAACGAGTATTTTGATATTACAAAAGTGGCAATGAAGGTTCGTTGACATCACAAAAAACCCACTAGAATAGAACTTACGGTTGCATCTAATCATTTCGACTGTAAAACGATGAGGCCTAGTAGCCAATCAAGTAGTATGCTTAAATTCATGAGGTCGCGGTACAAAGGAGAAGAGCTCATTAGAACAACTGCCGTGAAAATATTTATAGAAAAGGTAGAGGGAAGCCATGTCACGGCGGTGGGAAATTGACTAGAGTTGAGCTGCCAGGTCAGGACCGATAGCATTGCAGGTCCTTCTGAGGATTTTGTCAAGAAACTCAATATATATTTGTAGCCGAAGCACCAAAGCAGATTTGTCAGTAATATTCAATTTCTGATCAAATAGAAATTGTGACTGTGCTTCCTTCCTTTTTTATGGAATAGTGTACACTACTGGTGAACCGGAAGTTATCCGGGATTGAACAATAAATTGCCAAGAAGAATCGTATGGTGGGTAGTTTAGAAGATGGAAAAAATCGTAGCTAACGGAAGGTACACAAGTCTATAACCTATCAGTATCGGCTGGGTCACCGTGGAGAGGGGGTATGATGTTGAAAGACCCGAAACCCCTAATGAACCACGGCTAGAAACATCATGTGTACTAAAGCATCCAATAGACGTATTTTACGAAATTTTTTAGTAACTCAATTCTACAAGTTTTATTTCACCTCTGCTGTGACCAGGTATTGAACTCACAGCTGTTTGGGTCAAATCACTGGATTACTTCAACCAATGCTGGACCATGTCTCTACCTCAGTGGACTAAATAAAGGAAACGGTTAGAAATTCCAACGTATATCACCTGAAGAAGGCCGGAGTGTACAACGACCGAAACGTCATAAAGATAAAGTCCGAATAATGTAAATAGTCTAATTAGTTACCATACCTCATTTCAGAAATATAGACAGAGAAAGAAGCATCATCATTTAATTAAAAGGAAACAAACACGCAGGGGTCAGTTTCAGAAAGTGACATTTCATGGAGAAGCGCTGTCTGCGTGAAACATCCTAACATTTGGAATATGGAGGAAATGAGGATGATTTGATTCCATTAAAGTGGCATGACGTGTCATAGCTGCCATGTTTTTTTTAGATTGCACAAATAAAAGAAATCTCTTTATTTAACAGGATAGAGTAAAAGTCCTTATTACCTTTATGAGTTTCTTTCTTCACTTATTAAAATTGGGTGGAAAATCCACCGTGACCAACTTTGCGACTCAAAAAGTTCCGTGTGTATTACAGGTTTGAGAGGCCAGTTTTCAATCTTGGATAAAAACCAAGATTTCGAATAAACTTATGGATGGTCAGACATCATCATTTGAAATATTTGGCGTAACACAATCTTTTAACATCCATTTTCAAGTATGGCGTACAGAGCTATAAATTAGAGTATCCGGGTATCTGATTATGGGATGTCATAAGAGATTCAACTTTGAAAGTCGCTTTCTGTTGCCCTTTCATAGAAATGTAATATGTGTCACTTAGGATCAGGCAGAATAAACTGTAGCTGACTGAAGATACACAAGTCGATACCCGATCGGCTGGGTCACCGGGAAAAGGCGGTATGATGTTGAAAGACCCGAAACCCCTAATGAACCTCGACTAGAAACATCACTGATGATGTGTACTAAAGCATCCAATGGATGTATTTTACGAATTCACGGACGAGTTATAAGATGTCCGTAATTCTTTCTGCAACTTATCCTATCTATCTATCTATCTATCTATCTATCTATCTATCTATCTATCTATCTATCTCAGTCTGTGTGATCAACCGTAGTGTGTTCATTTCTGTCAAACTCTGTTTATATCAAGCTCCTTGTGTATCTGTTTTCATATCTACGTATTTACCTAATTTTCTCTATCTCTACCGTAGAATACTAATATCTGTCTATTTTCATTTTTCTTTTTTACTAATGTTCATTCTATACAAGGCCCAAGGGATACTCAAGGTAGAGCGAAAATATTTATAAAAAAAGACAGAGGGAAGAAACGTCACGTCGATGGGAAAGTGACAGAAGTGGAGATGCCAGCTCAGGACCGATAACATTACACGACACGAAATTTTAAAACTCAAATTCTACGTCATTGAAATTTTAAAAAAATATATATATATATATATATATATATATATATATATATATATATATATATATATATATATATATATGGCAGCAATATTAAATGAACGGAGGAATGATAGATTTATATATGTGCATGATGAATTCTGGCGAAAGAAATTGTCTGATGAGTATCTTCGTTATTTTATTTTCTTTCCTTTAAGCTTTTATTGCACATGCGCATTTTCTCTCCGTCATTTCTCCTGCGGAAGTTCTCCATTGCAAAATAAGCAAGTACAATAAAACATAGCAAAACACGTAATAAAACGTTTCAAAACAAAGCAAAACCCTAATTTCTCTTACACGCTTATCAATAATTCTTTAAGTTTGAACTTTTCTCCTCTTTCTTGGCTTCTAGTTGTTTTCATTTTCTTTTTCTTTATTCGCCTTTTGAAATTGCTAAATTCTTTTCGACGGCAGTGCCACCTATCTCACAAAAGGCAAACTAATGCACTTTCCGCAATGAAGATAATCTTAAGTGGAGAACTAGTAGCTTTCAGCATTTATTATGACTTTTTTTTTATATAACTTAATTCATTGTTCTTTTCTAATTTGTTTATTTGTACGTTTTTTAGTACGAGTTTGTATACGTTCACTCTTTTCTATTCTTTCGTCTTCATTGAGTTCTCATTGGATCATTAACAGTTTGTCGAAAGCTTTGTTTGATGATGTCAACACGTTCAGGATATCAATGTGCCACCCCACTTCCATCCCTCACTGATTTCCTTTTCGCGTCATTATTGCCTTCCCGTTCATTTCCATTGCTATTAATTCCTCGGCGGATTTCTCAGTTTTATCTCTTTTGTTTATTCGCTTTCCTTCCTCTTTTTTCTTTTCTTTTTGATTCCTTTTTGTTTTACGGGGTTTTTCTTCATATTTTTGTACACTTTTGCCTTTCGTCTTTACCTGGCACGTTCTCAATAGTTTTTATCATATTCTTTGTAAGATTTCTATCTCCCAAATTTTCTCATCTCGACTAACTAGTATACTTGCTTATATCACTACATCCATAGAGCTGCTGCTGCTGCTGCTGCTTCTTCTTCTTCTTCTCCTCCTCCTCCTCCTCCTCCTCCTTCTTCTTCTTCTTCTTCTTCTTCTTCTTCTAACACCACCGCTACCACCTTTGCTTCTCAATCCAGAATCACTTGTTTTATCCTTTCACTTGTTTTTTTTTCTTTTCCCCGTGTCTTCTTCTTCTTTTGTTCTTTCCTTTGCTCTATTGTCGCCTCCTCCTCGTCCTTCTTCTTCGTCTTCTTCTACTCCTTTCTCTTGTTCCTTTGTCTTCTTTTCTCTTCACTCTTATCTCGCCTTTACTCGTGTATTGTTGTTGTTGTTGTTCTTCTTCTTCTTCTTCTTCTTCTCCTCCTCCTCCTCCTCCTTCTTCTTCTCCTCCTCCTCCTCCTCCTCCTCCTTCTTCTTCTTCTTCTTTTTGTGTTCTTTCTCTTTTGTCCTTGTCTTTTTCCCTTCTCCACATTCATTTTGCATCCCCTTTTATTATAATCTTTTTTTCCGTATATTTTTTCCTTCTCTTTCACTTTCTATTTCACTCAATCTTCTTGAAATTCTTCGCCTTTTTTTCTTTCTTTGCGCCTCCGCTTTCTTTCATATTTCTTACTATTAATATTTCCATGGAAATCTACGCTGATATCCCCCCTAGCTTTAGCTATAGTTTTTCATCACTCACCCCCTTATTCACTCACTCAAACATTCACTCACATGCCGACAGGAAGCAATATTCTCCTCTTTTAAATGATCTGTCCGTGTGATTCGTAATAAAGGGGTTCTGTCTTTACTGCCAAGGGGGGAGGGAAACATTCATTGTTATTGAAAATTCACCCAAGAACTTTAACTTTCGTTGGTTTCATTGCATCAGTGAAAAACGCAGAACCAAGAATCAATGTTTCTTGTGTTCAAATTTCACAAATTATGTCCGGCGTCATGGCATTAGGTGCTCCTGGAAAGTATTTAGTTATTTTCGCCATTTCCCCAGGCTACTAAGAAAAATGTTAGGATCTTCAGTTCCGCCATTTCTCGCTGAAATTGAACATTACGCACAAGACTAAATCTGTCAAATTGGTCTCGATCTACGACAGTGTTATTAATGTTGACCTATATCATTTACTTAAAAACAAGAGTGCCATTATTTAAAAAAAAATAAATTAGAAAAACTTCAGTTGACAATTTTTAACAATACATTAACTTCTAAAACTTGTATATAAGTTTTCTATGGGGAAAATATCTAGTTTAGAACGTCCTAATTTTTTCATCTGATTTGACTCTCCTCATTTTTAAAATTTGAGTTTTATGTCACCCTGCTTGGATTGAATGATAGATTGAAACATAAATTTCTGCAAGTGGTACTGTACTTATATGATTTACTAGGATATCTGTATGTAATGTATAAAATATCTGTATCTAATGAATAAAAGGATATATATTACGTTGTTCGGAAAATAATGTCCGACTTTAGAATAAAACTCTTGTGTTCAAATATCTATCTATCTACTATCTATATTTCTCATGTTGTCTGTCTGTTGTGGGCGTTGTTACCTCGCCCAGGCCGCATTTCTCACCCTTATTTCTATGCGGTTTTCAACACAAGTTTGCAAATGGCTGCCGTAAGGACATGACGCAGCCCGATTTTTTTAGTTCGGACTCAGGTTCCGAAAAAATCGATAATCGAAAAAAAACTGCTTACAGAAGGAATTATTGCATTTCAACCAAATTTGACACCCTCTTACAGTCTACCTTTAGAAGTGTTGTCCAGAAGTTTCATCACCACGGACCCCTAAACAGCGCGGAAAATCGATAAAACCCAAAAGCCGATACGCCCAGATTGCACCTGAACCGTATGTCGGTTTTTAGCGAAAACCGATCGGATTTATGAGGAGGCCATTGGGAGTCACCACGTGAAGTTTCAACTCTGAGCGCCCCCCCCCCAAACAGAGTGCAAATGGACAATCGGTCTACCCTTAAAAATGTTTTTCCGGTTGGGTATTTCCTAAATGCAGATTAATTTAAGGTCACGCTATGCGCGGGAAGAAACAGGTTAGTGCGTGCAGTGCTGTATGAGTCGTACGATTTTTGAATCAAGCACGGGCAACGCCGGGCCATGCTTCTAATATTATTATAAAAGTTGCATAAAAATTTATTACTCATTTTTAGTTATCATCTTCGGTATTTAGTATCCTCTTCGTTATTCGTATATTTAAGAACTTAACTAAAAATATTGCATACCCCTCATCTTGAACATGCTAAAAGAAAAGATACGTTTCCTTTTTGTGGGGAGGGGTACAAATTGATGGTAATGCTTCTAAAACTGCTGCCAACATTAAGGGAGCATGGGATTGAAAGAACCAATTTTGGTCAGTCAGTATGGTACTGGTTACTAAAGTTCCGCAGTGGAGATATAAATGTGTCTTGAAGATTAAGTTGGCATTGGACGTCCATCAACAATTGGCAACCAAAGTTTGGAAACGCTAGCCGAACAAAGCCCACGTCAAAATGTCAGAAAAATATATCAGATAATCGGTGTCGGTATTTCAACAATATCGAACTATCTTAAGAAAATTGGTAAAATAAAGTAACTCGATAAATGGGTTTCACGTGAACTCAGTGAAAGTCAGAGAGTTCGATGTTTTGAAGTGTGTTCTATGTTGCATCTACGAAATACGAATGATTCATTTTGGGATCTAATAGTGACTTTTGAAAAAAAAGGACCCTTTATGACAATCGTAAACGATTGGCTCAATGTCTTGGTCATGATAAAGCGCCAAAAGACTTTTCGAAATCAAGATAACACCAGTAGAAGAATATGGCCACAGTCTGGTTGTCCGCCAGTGGCACTATCCATTAAAGATTTCTGGAATATAACCTACGCATCACATCTGAAGTTTACTGCAAGCAACTGGAAGAAATACGCATTCAGTTAAGAAAAATGCAACCGGCACTTGTTAATTGACAAAGTCCAATTCTGCTTTGTGACAATGTTTGGTCACATGTTACCAGAATAACACAGAAGCTCACGAACTTCGGATACGAAACTTTGTCAAACCCGCCATATTTATCTGATCTCACGTACACTGACTACTACTCTTTCAAGTCTCTTGATAATTCTTTAAGCCAAAATCATTTCATTGGAAAGAAGATGTAGAAACTGCATTGAAAGATTTCTTGATGTCTAAACCTTTAGAAATTTATCGTAAAGGCATAAATAACATTGTAACTTGATGAAAGAAATGTATAGGGTTCGTATATTGACTGATTTAAACACCTTTTAAATACATTAACCCAGGAATGAAAGCTGATTCTAAAATCAGATATTATTTTCCGAACAACCTGATAGCAGTATGTAGATATTTTTTATTTTCTCTTTTGCCTTAGAAAACTATACGAATGAAAAGATAAACATGATTTATCATTTTCTTATTATTTTCCGAACAACCTAATATATATATATATATATATATATATATATATGTGTGTGTGTGTGTGTGTGTGTGTGTGTGTGTGTGTGTGTGTGTGTGTGTGTGTGTGTGTACAGAGTACTGCCAAAATGAATACACACTTCAAGAAAGGAAAAACTTGTGCGGATATTGTAATACTAAATTTATTCAGACACCACAAGAGTAATACAAGTTATCTTTGGACTCTACAATCACTAGAGATGCTCAAAATGGTGGCCTTTAGCTTCCAGACATTTATTAGTATGATGACCTACTGCTTGTCCAACTTTGGTCAAAGTGTCTAGTGGGATTACTGCAGTTGGACTTTCATTGGCAGCCAATGTAGTCGATTTTCTACGATACAAAACATCCTTTAGGGTCCCCATAAATACAAGTCTGGAGGCATTAAATCAGGAACATATCGTACTACAGTAAACAGTGTTATCGCAATTTAATAAAACTACGAAAGACAAGATTTTCCTATCCTGAAATGTTTACCCGGGCTCTGTATGTATCTCTTTCTCTCTCTCTCTCTCTCTCTCTCTCTCTCTCTGTATATATATATATATATATATATATATATATATATATATATATATATAATTTATTCAAAATTATAACATAAATATGTTATAAAATCAATACAAAAATAGCCATTTTGTTTCAACGCTTCTGGTGTCTTATCAAGCAATAGTATTGAATGTAGTCGATCAAACCCAATATTCATAAGGTGCACTACATTTGTGGTTTTTGCATAACTGTGCCGAAGTTAGTTTATATGGGGTTCGATCGACTACATTCAATAATTATGTTACAATTTTTGAATAAATTATATTTGCTCTACTCTGTATTGAACACTCCTTTAAAAATAGTATTTTCAGGTTATTGGAATTTATTCCGCATACACCAAACCTAATATATATATATATATATATATATATATATATATATATATATATATATATATATATATATATATATATATATATATATGAAACTAGCCTCCAGGAAAGTTACTGGTCGCACCTTCTCGGCTCACGTTCTCAGCTGACATGAAGTGGAAAAAAAAAACTATATTAAATTCATTGCTAGGTCAGCTGTTAAGAAGGTTGGTTCATTGTGTCGAGCCTGACAATTTTTCTCTTCGGAATCTATCTTACATATTTATAAGTCTACCCTTTGTCCATGCTTAGTTAATTTCTCCCACATGTACTCTGGTGCTCCTCCTATTTACCTTGAGCTCCTTGAAAAAAAATGATTGGGCTCACTATAATCTTGGTTGTTAAGCAGCCTAGAAGTACAATTTTAAATTCAAACACACTTATAGAATCCACAGCAACTAGAGTTCGGGGCTCCTGCTATTTACCTTGAGCTCCTTGATAATATACAAAGAAGTATCAGCAATATTATCGGTCCTGATCTGACAGCTCGGCTTCACTCATTTTTCCACCGCCGTAAGTTTGCCTCTCTGTGGCCTTTCTATAAATAGTTTAATGGCAATATTTCGGATGAGGTCTTCGCTATGATACGTAGACTTTTTGAATTTAAGCGCAGTATTAGATTGACGTCGAAATGTCATCAGTTTACAGTTGAGCTGGCTAAACATCGCCTTAATTTCCATGCTAACAGTTTCTTTTCTCGCATTTGTCGGTTGTGAAACT